ATCAAGGTACAACTTTGCTAATCTCTCCATCGAATATGACTCTTTTATAGGTAAGAAGTGTGCAGATTTAGATAACCGATCTACTATCACCCATATCGCATCATATCYTTTCGATGTTCTCGGTAATTTGGTTATGAAATCCATAGTAAWATGATCCCATTTCCAAACCGGAATTTCCAAAGATTGTAGCTTACCATAAGGACGTTGGTGTTCAATCTTTACTTGGAGACAAGTTAAGCACTGTTCAACATGTTTAGCAATTTCTCTCTTCATCCCTGGCCACTAATAATGTTGTCTTAAATCCCGATATATTTTATTTGTACCTGGATGTATCGCAAAATGTGACTGATGTGCTTCATTCAAGATACGCTTTCTGAGATCACCATAACATGGTACCCAAATTATGTTCTGAAATTTCCAAAATTCCGTGATCAAATCAAATATTAATCCACCCAATCTTTCACGTTTGATCTTATCCTCTTTCATTGCTTCATATTGAAATTCTTGTAACTCTTCTTAAATACTGGGTAATAACTCAACTCGTAAAGCTGTAGCTTTGATCGTTCCGCTTTTCTCTTGTCGACTTAACGCATCAACTACTACATTTGTTTTGCCTGGATGATACAAAATCTCACAATCATAATCACTCACCAATTCCAACCATCTTCTCTGATGCATATTCAGATCTTTCTGATGAAATAGATGTTGCAAGCTCTTATGATCTGTAAAGATTTGACACTTCGTTCCATACAAATAATGTCTCCATATTTTCAAAGCAAACACTACTACCGCTAACTCCATATCATGAGTAGGATATTGTCTCTCATTATCTTTTAACTGTCAGGAAGCATAAGCTATTACCTTTCCACGTTGAATCAGCACACAACCCAAACTCAATTTTGACGCATCACTATATACCACGAAATCTTCCACTCCATCTGGCAGAGATAGAATTGGTGYWGTACAYAATTTATCTTTTAACATCTGAAAAGCTTTAGTTTGTGCTTCATCCCACTCATACTTCACATTCTTTTTGGTCAACTTCGTTAATGG